GTGGCGTCCGCCTGGCCTCCCTGGGACCTCGCACCCCTTCCCTCTGTGACTAATGGGAGCTTAGGGGGAGTAACCTTAAAACCAGGCAAAGGGTCCATTTCTCCTCAAGCTTTCAGCCTGTCAATATATTTCTTTGAAAAACAGCCCCGGCTGGCGGGGCCCAGTGGATTGAGCGCCGGCCTGCGAACCAAAGGGTCGCCGGTTCGATTCCCAGTCGCCACAGCTGGGTTGCGGCCCAGGCCCCCAGCTGGGGGGCGTGCGTGAGTGGGAACTGATCGCACATCCGTTTCTCTCCCTCCCTGCCCCTCTCTCTAAAAATAAAGTCTTTTAAAAATGTTTAAGCGTGCGTGGACGCATGGTTTCCTATTTCGTTCCCCGGTTACGATCCACGAGCAGAATTGGGGTCTCCGATTGCCTGTGAGTCCCCGAGGGGGGACCCTGAGCCCTTCCGACCCCTCCTTGTCAGGCTCGGAGCCCTCCCGCGCTTCCCGGCGCAGTGACACGTTCCAGACCTGTCCTGGAGCCGCCCTGCCCCAGCCCTGGGACCAGCCGCTTCCCTAAAGAGCTCCGGTGCCTTGTAGCCGAGGGTGGAATTTAGAAACCAAGGTGCGGGCTCTGGGCGTGCTCGCTGCTGCTGGGGCGTCGCCCTTGCGGGTGACGCGGAGACCTGCGCGAACACACCCGCGCCTGCAGCTTTTCTGTCGGCTGACGAACAGTAAAATGTGCTCATCGCGAACTCTGACCCCACACCGCCATACGGTTCGCGTGTGGCTCCTGGGCGTGGGTTCCAGGCCCTGCCAGCAGGTCGCCTGCCTCTCCCTGCCTGGCCTGAGCTGCCTCGTCTGCGCGGCCTGTCTGCAGTCTCCCGCGCTCCAGCGGCGCCTCCCTCGTTTGCCCGGGGCCCCAGGAGCCCCGGGGCAGCCAGCCCTGCCTCCCCTCCCCCACTCCCACTGCATCCTGCTGTGTGTCCTGCGATGGCCTCCTGAGGAAGCTGTTTGCGCCGCTCTTTCTGCCGAGGTCACTTTTGGTGGAGCTCAAACGGAGACAAAAAACTCTTCTGTAAATTTTTATCAAGAGCACGTGACTCGAGAATGCCCCCCGCTCCCAAATTTAAAGTTTTAAGACAATCTCTTGGCACTTTCCTGACAGCGGGGGTTTGTGCCAGGTTGCCAGCAGGTGTTTCCTGGTGCTTCCCATGGGGCAGGGGGCAGGGCGGTGGGAGCCGGGAGGGCAGCGCTGCCCCCGAGGCCAGGCGGTCTGTGGGGCCTCTGGTGGGGGGCCTACCAGCCCGAGCCTCGCAGCCGGTTTCCCCAGCGGGGCTTGGGGCTGCGCCGTCACCAGCAGCCTCCTCTGGCTGATCTGGGAGCGCAGGCGGCTCCTTGGGCAGCCCCTGCCCCCGGGAGCCTCCTGGGGACCTGCAGAACTCACTCCGTCCCCAGTCTCCTCCACTCTGTGCCTGTCTCGGCAGGAGATGGAAGCCACGCGGGGAGAACTTGAGTGGTCCCAGGCCCCTGGCCGGCACCTGCGGGGCGTACGCTCCGTGTGTTTACCAGTGAGCGAACGCACGCATGACCGGCTGCCCACAGCCATCATGGGGCAAGGGCTGGGGCCCTGCCTCAGCCCCCAAGGTGCATGGCCGTGCCAGTGCCTGGGCCCTCCGCCTGCCGGCGTGGTGCCTGGCCCGTGGTCACGGGACAGCGGGAGAAGCGGGCTGCTGGCCAGCGTGGCTGCTGGGACGGGCGGCAGGGAGGAAGGCCGCCAGGTGGGGGCCGTCCACCCCCCGAGGCTCAGGCTCGGAAGCGGGCAGGGCCTGGCGGCTCAGCACAGACCCCTGGTCCTGGGTGGGCGGCGAGGGCCCGGCCGCTCCCAGAAACACCAGCACCTACGGGAGGAGGCCTCGACGTCCAGCGAGGCGCGGGAGCCTCTGACAGCAGCCAGGCCCCCGTTCCGCACCTGGGGGCTCCTCCTTTGCCGCGCCCCCCACCACTCACCCCCGCACAGCCCCGTGGGCCTCTCCCTGGATTCTGCGGCCGCGTGGACGTGCTGGCCCTGGGCCGGGCTCTACCTGACCCCCCTCCCCGGAGCCCCGCGAAGCCAGGAGGTGCACTCGGGCGGGGAGCGGGTGCGTCAGCATGCCCGCTGGGGTGGGCCGTGCCCGGTGGCCGAAGGAGCCGGAGGGCTCCCCGCGTGGCCAGCGGCCCCACCCGGCCAGCCCTCTGCGCGCTCACCAGCCGCCTTCTTTCAGTGACAGGCTCCAGGCTGTGCAGGGTTCCAGTCCCCATGGAAGGAGCTGAGGCCCTCGGGGTGAGTGCAAACATTCCTGGTCCCAGTGTGGGCCAGGAAACTGATTTCTGGAGACAAGTCCGTCCCTTTTCTTTGGTTTTCAGTGTCCTCGTGTTGGAGCGCAGAGAAGCCTTGTGTGGGGGCCGCCGCACGTTGGGGGCCCGGAGTGACGACCAGGACAGAGGGTCCCCAGGGCACAGGCGGGGTAGGGTTTTCAAACGTGACACACAGCATTGAAACTCAGGCCCCGCCCCCACCCGGTGCCTGCAGCCTCTCTGCCCTGAGGGCGTGCGGTCACCCATGGCCCTAGCTGCCTCTCCAGGGACCCGCCTGCACCTCTAGGTCCGCAGAGGCGCCTAGTCAGCTCCCCGGGCAGGCGCTGCCCCCAGGGGCCCGGGTATGGGGTCAGTTCCAGCTTCCACTGGGGAGGCAGGAGTGGTGGGTGGCAAGTTGAAGGTCACCCAGGCTGAAGCGGGTGTGGTACCATCACCTCTGCCCAGCACCGCAGGGGTCCCCACGTCTCCCCACTGCCCAGGCTGGGGAGGGTGCCCTCGATCTTCCGAGAAGGTGCCACCGCTTGCTCTGCGGGCCTGTCCTGCCCTCACTCAGGTTTAAAACAGCCAGGACTGTTCCCCTGACTTCGAGTCCCACCCCAGGCCTCCGCCGGACTCTGCCGCCTCTGGGGGCCACCCGGTTCGGGCCGCCGGGCTCCCAGCGGGCACCTTCTGTGTCTTCCCCAGGACACAGACAGTGTGCGGAAGGACAGGCACTGGGGTCTCACTCTGGCCATGGCCCTGGTGCCCCGCAGATGTGCATGGGGCTCGGTGGCCAGGGAGGCTGAAGGGTAAGGGTCTTGCTGGCCCGCTCCGCCCGAGGCACGGAGGATCTGGGCTGGGAGGACCCAGCCTAGGCCTGGCCGGGACGGCAACCCGGCCTGGCACAGGGCACGGCGTCCTGGACACGGCGCCGCCCCTGCAGCCGGTGATCCTGCCCTGGGAGCACGGGGCGCGGAACGAAGCCCTGCGGGCTGTGTGGTGGGGACCAAGGTGCAGGGTCAGGACGCGGTGGGTGCTGCTTGTCCATCACACCTGGGGGCAGGGCTAAGCGGCCCTCACGCCGGTTGGGGGTCCTGGGACGGCGGCGGGGTGTCCGTCTCCTGTACGGGGTCTCTGGGGTGTTTCCACCTGAACCCGTTAGCAGCCCTCGCTGTTTCATGGCGTCCTTGTCCTACGTAGGACCTTGTGCCGTACTGTGTGGAGTCCCCGTCTTATATGGGACCCGGGTCATGTTTTGTGGCGTCCCTGTCGTGAGGGGAACTAGGTCGTGCTGTGACATCGCCCCGCGCGTGGGGACCCCGCGGTGTGCTCCGCCCCGTCCTGGAGAGGGTCGCGAGGCGTGCGGTGGGCCTGCGCGGGGCGGTCCCGCCCGCTTCTCAGCTCGTTTGCGGTTGTGGCGGGGCCGCGTGTGGGTTTCTGGGAGCCGGCGGCGGCGGCGGCGGTGGGACGAGAACCCTCCCAGCCGCTCAGGAAGCGGCCCCGGCCGGAAAGGGGGCCCCCGGCGCCGCCACCGCCCCCGCCCCCGCCGAGCGGCCTTCCGGCGGGCGGGTCCAAGACGAGCCGAGCAGGGTCGAGTCCCGGGTGGGCGGGACCGAGAGGAGCCGAGCGGCGCCGACTCCCTGGCGGGTGGAGCCGAGCGGAGCCGAGTGGGGGCCGAGAAGAGCCGAGCTCCGAGCGGGCGGGTCCGAGCGAAGCCGAAGCCCAGGCGGACGGGGCCGAGCCCCCGGCGGACAGGCCCGAGAGCAGCCGAGCGCGACCGAGCGGCCCGAGCAGGGGAGGGGAGAGAGCGCGTTCCTGGAAGAGAGGGCCGTGGGGCGGTCGCATTCCTGGCCAGCGCTCGGCTGCGGCGGACGCTCGGCCCAGACGGCGCGCGGGGCGGGGCGGCGGCGTGGGGCGGGGCGCGGGGCGGGGCGGCGGCGTGAGCTCAGCGCCGGGCAGTCAGTCCGAGCCGGAGCGAGCCGCCGGGAGGATGTACGCCGAGCCCCGCGCCGCCGCCGCCGCCGCCGCGCTCTGAGGGCCGCCTCACAGGCGCTCCGCCGCCCCGGAAGCCGCGCGTGCGGGGGGCGGGCGGGCGGGCCGAGGAGCCGGCGCGGGCGGCGGGGTGGGCGCGGGCCGGGCCGGGCCGGGGCGGCCGGCGGCGGGCGCGACGCGGCCGGCCAGCGCCGCCGGGACGAGCCGGGCGGGCGCCGCGCGGTGGGAGGAGCGGGGCGGCGGCGGCGCGCCGCGCGAGGACGGCCCGGCGGGCCCCGCGCCCGCGCCCCCGCTCCTCCCGGGCCCTTTGGCCTCGGCCACCGCGGCGATTCGCGCCTCGCGGCGCCGGCACCTGCCCGCGCGCCCCCCGCGAGCCCCGGGCCCGCGAGCGTTGGCGTTGGCGTTGGCGGCGCGCGCCGGGGCATGCCCCGCGCCTAGGGCCCGGGGGGCGCGCGGGGGGGCGCGCGGGGGGCCCGGGTGGCGGCGGGCGCGGCGCGGGGCGCGTGGATGTGGCTCCGGGCCCGGGCGGCGGCGGGCTCCAGCGGCGGGACCCCTTCGCCCCGCCCGCCTTCCCCTTCGCGCCCCCGGGCGAGGCCGAGGCCGCGGCCGCGGCCGTAATCGGCCGGGAGCCGGCGGCGGGGGGCGGCCGGGGCCGGGGCCGGGGCCGCCGCCGGGGCGCGCGGGGCGGCGGCGGGGGCCGCGGGGGTCCCGGCGCGCGGGAGCGGGAGCGGCCCGGGGAGTCGGAGCGCACCATGGAGGCGGCGGCCGGCGGTCGCGGCGGCTTCCAGCCGCACCCGGGGCTGCAGAAGACGTTGGAGCAGTTCCACCTGAGCTCCATGAGTTCGCTGGGCGGCCCGGCAGCCTTCTCGGCGCGCTGGGCGCAGGAGGCCTACAAGAAGGAGAGCGCCAAGGAGGCGGGCGCGGCCGCGGTGCCCGCGCCGGTGCCTGCGGCCGCCGAGCCGCCGCCCGTGCTGCACCTGCCCGCCATCCAGCCGCCGCCGCCCGTGCTGCCCGGGCCCTTCTTCATGCCATCCGACCGCTCCACCGAGCGCTGCGAGACCGTCCTGGAGGGCGAGACCATTTCGTGCTTCGTGGTGGGCGGTGAGAAGCGCCTGTGCCTCCCGCAGATCCTCAACTCGGTGCTGCGCGACTTCTCGCTGCAGCAGATCAACTCGGTGTGCGACGAGCTCCACATCTACTGCTCGCGCTGCACGGCTGACCAGCTGGAGATCCTCAAAGTCATGGGCATCCTGCCCTTCTCGGCGCCCTCGTGCGGGCTCATCACCAAGACGGACGCGGAGCGCCTGTGCAATGCGCTGCTGTACGGGGGCGCCTACCCGCCACCCTGCAAGAAGGAGCTGGCCGCCAGCCTGGCGCTGGGCCTGGAGCTCAGCGAGCGCAGCGTGCGCGTGTACCACGAGTGCTTCGGCAAGTGCAAGGGGCTGCTGGTGCCGGAGCTCTACAGCAGCCCGAGTGCCGCCTGCATCCAGTGCCTCGATTGCCGCCTCCTGTACCCGCCACACAAGTTCGTGGTGCACTCGCACAAGGCCCTCGAGAACCGGACCTGCCACTGGGGCTTCGACTCGGCCAACTGGCGGGCCTACATCCTGCTGAGCCAGGACTACACGGGCAAGGAGGAGCAGGCGCGCCTGGGCCGCTGCCTGGACGACGTGAAGGAGAAGTTCGACTACGGCAACAAGTACAAGCGGCGGGTGCCCCGGGTGAGTGTCCGCACCAGCCTCCGAGCTGGGAGGGGGAGGGGCGGGCTGGGCAGAGGGTGGGGACCCTCTTGCGCCAGGCGCTCCGTCTCTGCAGGCTGAGGCCTGCGTGTCCGCCCGCTTCCACGTCTCAGGGTTTCGCTTTGTTTCAAAGAAAACGGGGGTAGCTTCGGAGCCCTGGCCGACGGCGCAGCAGCTGGGGAGGAAGGGCCTCCTGCCCAGCCCCTGGGACAGGTCAGCTCGCCCAGAGGGTGGGGAAGCCTTCCTGAGGCCCCGGCAGTCGCTCCCATGGGCCGGGAAGGGCAGGCCTCAGGCCTCGGACGCTCCTGCCCGAGCCCCGGGAAGTTGGACCTGGGCCGGGCCCAGGGCTTCCTCCGGGTCCCTGCGGAAATGTCCAGACCGGGGGCGGGGGGCTAAGGGCGCTGCCATCGCCCCGAAGCTCCCAGGCCCACGGACGCGGGTGCCTGCCCACGGCCCCCAGCAGAGAGGATTTGGCCAGGCGCAGCCTTTTGTGTCTTGAAGACCTGGGAGACGTGCTAAAAAACGAAGCAAGGTGTCCAGGCGCGTGTGGCAGGGGGCCGAGGCTTGGGGACGGCAGCTCTGTATGTCTCCCTGGCCCTTCAGGGCCGAATCCAGAGCCCCCCCGTGTGGGGCAAGGGCCGCTGGGCACCAGGCTCGGGGCAGATCAGTGGGTGCCTAGGGCCCGATCGGGCGTGGCCCATGGCTTGTGAGTTGTGGACGCGCCGTTTCCTCCTCCCTCTCCCAGAAACGCGGAGGGCACCGGGGGCGGGGAGGGCCTGTTGTTCGTCTGACTGGGACGTCTGTGACCCAGGCAGCTCCCAGGCCACCAGATGCGGAAACCAACCGCTGAGGTCCTCACCAACTTCTTATGGCATCTGCCCCTCCCCAAGCATTTGCAACTTTCCATTTCAATGCCCGGGCTGGTTACATCGCACACGGAGCTCTGCCCTGGCTCAGCTATTCTGGGGAGGCCTAATTAATTCAGCTATTGCATCAAACTTCTTTTTCTGAATCTGTGAATAGAGGCTCCCGCCCGATTTTCTCCGGGCGCCCCTCCAGCAGAGTGTCAGTCTCGGGGGTGGAGGAGGGGCTGGGGAAACGAGGGCCTGTCGCCTGTGCTTGGAGGGGGCCACGCCTGTGCGCGTGTGCACGCCTGTGCGTGTGTTCGGCGGCGTTTCTGTGGCCGGCGGGCCTGAGTGGGCAGCGTGCGGCAGGGCATGCTGGTGGATGGCTCACGGCCAGGCCCTGCGTTTCTGGCGGGGCATAGGCCCTGGGGGCAGGATGGGCACCCCTGTGTGAGCAGGGCGGCCTTCTCTTTGGGGTGGCTGCACCCCGGACAGCCGGCGTGGCCCGAGGGAGCCCGTGTGCAGGGTTGGCGGCTCGTGGCGGGACAGCGCTGGCGGGCGAGGCTGCGGCGGGTTGCTGACCTTGGAGTGGTCAGCAGAGGGTCTCCTCAGGCAGGGCGTGTCTGCGACGGCCCCATCTGGGTTCTGTGCGCGTTCGTGGTCTCCTGCTCTCCTGGGGCTGGCATTTGTCACCGCTGGAGGCGCAAACCCAGGCTCCCTGGCGGCAGGCCCTTCGGCCCCGGCCTGGGTGTCCTCGGCTCTGGGGAGGCCCGGCTGGAGCTGACAGGCCCAGGTGCTGCCGGGGCGCCGGGCAGGACAGTCCCCCAGCCGCCGCTGCCGAGGAGGGGCCGGAGCCCAAGCCGTTTCACTCGCTCGGGCCGTCTCCGCCGATGGCCCGCGCTGCCTCTTCTCCCTCAGTGGTCTCCCGGAGCTGCTCAGAAATCTCGTGCGCTGACTTAGAAGAGACTTCCAACGCGGCTGGGGTCCCCAGGCCTCGGCGCCGTCCGGCTGGCCACTCGTTATCCGCAGGCCCTGCCGCCTCAGAGGCTCTCCTGCCGGCCTTGCCCCCTGGTCCTGCTGCGTTGGCTGAGGTGGCATGGCCGGCACGCTCTGGGCTGCGTGGTCGGCTTTAAGCCCCTGGCACAGCCGTGCGCTGTGCGTCTGCACGCCAGAGGCGCCAGGGGAGGGTCAGGGCCTTCGCCTCCGGGCAGGGGATGCGCTGCTGCCGGGACCCCGCTCGTCCGGGGAGGAGCCGCCTGGGGAGGCCCCGCCCGCCTCTGCGTGCTCCTCCCGTTGGCCTCTTGATGGCGTGTTCACGGGGCGTGTTTTGATGTCTTCACTTCCCTTGTAGCTCGTTTGAATATTTTCGGTGCACCTAGAGCGAGGACAGAAGGCGACAAAGAGCGTGCTGGCGCTGCTCCTGGTGGGGGCGCGGCTCCCGTGGGTTCTGCTGGGTGGAGGGGAGCAGGAGCGCCTCCCCGGTGTGGGTGGCTGCGGTGCCGCCAGGCCTCCTGCCGGAGGGACACTCGGCGCTTCTGGGCCACCGCTGGTGGGAGGGTTTGGTGCCTGTCGCGGTACCTGACGCCCTGCGGCCTTTGCTCACCCTGCCTGCCCTGCGGCCCAGCCGTGGGCTGGTGGTCGCTGTGGCTGCCCCCGCGTGGGGCCGAGTGTGGGGCCAGCGCCAGCTCCAAGCCTTGGAGCCCTGTGACGGCGGTGTGTGCGTGCCGGCCGGCGGCCTTCCTCGGTGACGGCGCGGCTGTGACGGGGTCCCAGAGTGAGTGCACTCAGCTGTCGGGGGCTGCTGCTGGTGCCGCTGGCCGCTGCCCCTGTGTGGCCACAGCGGCGGGCCAGGTGCGGAACCACGGCTGCTCCCATGCCCTTGTTCCGTTCCTCACGGGCCGTGTGGCCTGGAGTGCGCTGCGTTGGCCGTGCTGTGCCTCAGTTTCTTCAGGTGGCCTATGACATCTCCTTTCTTTGGGGTGTCTGGGTGTTGGTGTCTAGGGGGCGGGCAGGTGGGTTGCTTGGCTGCTGGGAATGTGTGGCCGGGGGAGGGGACCTTGGTCCCTGCTCTCCGCGTCCGTTCTGCGCGGTCAGCACCGGCCCCCAGCTTGGGCGCGTCTGGTGGCGTTTGTACTCGGTCAGGCTGATTTCTTAGCAGCACAGGTCGCTGTCGGTTGTAGAGGAGGTGGCGGTGCTGCTGGCCTAGGTGAGGCTGCCGGCCACTCCTTGCCGGGCAACCAGGGCGTCCCTCTGGGGAGCCCCCGGGGGTGCTGTGCTCCCTGGGACCGGCCAGGGCTGTGCGTCGAGGAAACAGACTCCTCAGAGGTGCTGCCCGAGGTCCTGCGTCTGGTCCTCGGGCTGGAGAGGCCGCGCCTCTACCCTCTGCCGCCCCCGCTCTGCGGGGCTCTCCTGCAGCCACGCCCTGGTCACTGGCAGCCCCATGGTGTGCGGCGTGAGCAGCCGCCGCCGGGGCGTCTCAGTTCTCACCGTGGGAACGGCCTTCCCCGCGTCGCTGGGCGCCGTCCCTGCTGGAGCGCAGCGTTGTCCCCCTGTAGTGCCCTGGGGCAGTGTCCGCATCGGGGGCGTCCGGTCTCAAGATGCCTGCGGGGAGGACTGTGGCTTTCGGGTGCAGAGGCCGGGCTGGGGGAGCCAGGCCTTGGGACCCTCTCTGGGTGGGCGCACGATGCTCCTGAAGCTGGGATCCCCGTGGGAAGAGGCGTCACCATGAGTGTCCCTCTGGGCTGGGGTGGACTCCGGCCAGCACGCCTCCCCCAGGACCCCCTCTTTTGGGGGGGGGGCTGCGCGTATCTTAGTCGTCAGGACTGGGCAGGGATGTAGGGTGTCAGCTGTCCCTGTGTCCGCCTGGCTCTGTTTTTGTGGGGCTCTGGCGGTGATGGCCGCAGACACTTGGTGGAGAAGGTGGGTGCCCCCCGCCCCATGGGTAGGGCTGGTGTCTGCCCGGCAACCCGGCCATGAGGGTAGAGATGCAGAGCAGAGGCGGGGGTGGCTTCTCAAGCGGGGGCGGCGGGAGATGGAGGGAGACTTCTGGCTTGCGCCCTGCGCCCTGGAGTGGGTGGGCCATGTGCGCAGGGCGGGCGAGGGGCCACGGGGCCCTCGGTCTGTCGGCAGCGAGCAGGGCCACGCCTCAGTGGTTCTGTGGGAACACCCCGCCTGCCTGTCCCAGAACCGTCTTTGGACCGCAGGCCTTCTGGGGTTTCCCTGGCATGGGCCTCTCCCGTGGGGCAGCAGGGCCATTTGGTGGCCTTCCCGTCTGCCCTGCTTCCCGCAGGGTCCTCCGGTCAGGCAGGGCGTCCAGGGCACGGCCGTTGCCTCGCGGCGCCCAGGTTTCCCGGCCCCCCCTATGGCAGCAGACTGCGCACGCTGCGCTGGGTGTCGGGCAGGCGGACACCGGGAGGTGAGGAAGTCTGGAGAGTGTGACCCCCGCCCCGGCCACACCCCGGCCACCAGGCACTTCCGGGCCTGCACCCTGGCTGTCTGGCAGGAGGCATCCGTGGCGGCTGCGGCCGGACTCTCTGTGGCCCGGACACTGTTACACAAGTGGCAATAATGTGTCTCTTTCTAAGGATTGCGAAAGTTAGGGTTTCTCCATGAAAGAATTATGCAAGTTTCAACTGAAATGTTTTTTAAAAGTTTCTTTGTTTTGAGTCAAAATACAGCGGCGGAATTATTTCCGTACGGTCTGTGCGAGCTGGGGGGAGGGAGTGCTCTGCCCTTCCGAGGGCCGGCCGGGCAGGGAGGTGGTGGGGCTGGGCGCGCCTGTGTTTACAGACCGGCTGGGACGCGGGGGGCGGGCCGGAGCCACGGAGGAACAGGAAGTCGGCCCTCCGAGCGTGCGGGGACTGCGGGGGCGCGCCGCCCGGGTCTGAGGCGGTTTCGGTTGTCAGCTTCCCTCGGGTTGGAGCTCCAAGGGCGGCGGGAGGCTGGGCCCCAGGGAGGCTGGGCCCGAGGCGGACGGAGAGGCGGCAGTGGCGGGGGGGTTTGTTTAGGCGACTCGTCTGCTCAGGAAGCACCGAGCGCAGCCCTGGGTGGGGGCAGCGGTGGAGGAAGCAGCAGCTCTGAGGCTGCTCCCCTCGGGACAGAGGCCGGGACTCCCCGAGAGCCCTGCTTGCAGGGCGG